CGAGTAATTTAGATACAATAATAGAAAGACAAAATAACACAAACCTAAAAGCCAACAGACAGCAAAATAATGTTGAAATAAAGTTAGATGTCATTTAAATGGAGCTTGCAAAACGAAATCTATTTATTTATAAAGCAGAAATAACAAATATAAATGGACAAATTAAAACATATATAGGCTGCACGAAAAACCCTTTCAAGTGCAGATGGTACAATCACACATCGAGTTTTTAGTTGCCAAACCTTAGATACTCCACCAAACCTTAGATACTCCAGCCACATGTGGAATTTAAAAGAAAAAAAATTTCAGTGACCCAGTCATAAGGTGGAAAATTTTATAAAAGATAAAAACATGTAACAATTATACCCACATTTGCAAAATCTGCCAATATGAGATATTAGCAATTATGACATTACCGGAGCCAAAAAATCTTTTTAACCAAAAATCAGAAATTTTAAGCACTTGCCCTCATATAAAACAATTTTTATTAAGTGAATATGAAGCCAGTTAAACACTACTACCCTTTAGACATGCTGACCCTCCTATCCTCCATAGCAATTAAGTTACCTATTTGGAGGATAGGATATATATATATATATATATATATATATATATATATATATATATATTTTATATATATATATATATATATATATTGTCATCCACAGACAGACTGTTTCGCTGTATCACAGCTCATCAGTGTGGATAGACATCCGGTTGCCTCTAGCTATGATCGAAACTCGATTGAATTGGCGGGGATTCTACCACTAAGCCGTTGGCGCACGGCAGGGATGAAGGTGAATTTTAAGTGTATTTATTTTAGATAAACACACAGTGACTGAGAGAACTCAATTCGATTTAACGAAGAGTCTTGCATTATCAGCCGTAATAATCACTGTTTACAAACTCACTTCCTCCCCAGAGAGCTCAACTGAAATAAATTGTTCAGGAGCATATATATATATATATATATATATATATATATATATATATATATATATATATATATATTCTTAGAATAGGGAACATTTTATTAATCAAAAGTCGGATATAAAAGTAATGTCTCGATTAAAAAAAAAAAATTAAGGTACATTTCTTCTGAAGCTTTAAGACCAATGATATACAGCGGATTTCTTCTCTGTGCTGCACAGGGCACGGACTAAACATTATGTTTACCACTTGAAGGCGGCTGTTATCAGCAGGTCTCGGCTCTGTGTAGTCAGAACGAACTGAAACACAAACTGGCACTTTTCGGTTACTCTTTTTCTCGTTCTTGGAAACTTTAATTTTTTCCCCTCACTCTTGGCTCTTTTAGATCTATTTCACGAAGATTTGTTTCCCTTCAGTTGTTTTTTTTTTTAATTCCGACGATTTTAAGTTTCTATTTTTAATCGAGAAAATACATTTGTATCCGACCTCATAATTAATAAAATGTTCCAGGTTTTAAGAATAATATTTAGATGACGTGGCACTAAAATCACACACAAACGTATATGTAGTAAAATTATACATTCGTACTCATCTGTACTCTAACTGCAGTGCCTGATGATTGCTAATACATGAAACTTAAAGTTATGGAAGGCTAATCACTAGAATTTAACTAAATAGTTATAATTATATTTGTAATTATCTGTGTTATACTTCAAATAATTTAGTTCATTTTATTACGTTTACATATTTCGTTGCAGCATCTTAACTTTAAAATTATTTATGTACGCTGGCAACTGAGGAGGATTGTTCAGTTGTGATTCATTATAGACTATTCTATATACACCTGATAAAGGCAGCAAGGTACAACGACCGAAACGTTGGAATAACAACAACAATGATGGCGATCATCGTCTGAATATCACTAATGTAACTATCATTAAATGTTAATGATTTCGTTGTAGTATGCAAACATGACGCGCATAAAATTATGTCTCTCGGAGTTACTTTTTATTATACAAGGTCTTTATTTCATTTATACATCCCTCTTTCTCTCTCTCTCTCTCTTACTCCTTCTCTCTTTGGCTCTCTCTCTCTCTCTATATATATATATATATATATATATATATATATATATATGTGTGTGTGTGTGTGTTTGTGCTTTAGTATTCAGTCTCATATAGTTTGTGAAATGGTGTTGAATTGCATCCTGTTTGATTATTCATTTTCAGCGCAAAGTGGATGGATGACGTTTAGATTGACTTGAAATCTTAGATTTCTCCTTCCCAGATGAGTTGCTGATAAGATTCTTTGCACTACCAAACGCTGAGAATAGAACCTCAGGTCAGATAGTTCATAGTCACAGACTCCATGACTGCTATTAAATGAGATGCCTTCCAGACGAATCTTATGGAATATATATCAGTAAGTATGCGTTGCAGTCTGCTTAGTATCAGAGTCCTTCATGTATTTCCAACAGTTGTCCGAGATTATATTAAAACATAAATTTCAATATTGTTACTTGAGTCACCATTTTTATTTCATTTTAAACTAAATAAATATATATATATATATATATATATATATATATATATATATATATATATATATATATATATACGCACACAAAATCATATGAATATGTAGGTGTATGTACGTGCGAATTTAAATGAAAACGAGTAAATATCCTTAGAGAAAGAGAGATAGAAAGCAACTGTGCCAGTTAAACGGGCAGGTGAGAAAGAAGACAAGTCAAAATATACAGTGAGTCATGTAGCTGAAATATCTTTTAGAAATATGCAATCCATTTCTCCAGACAATCTCAGTTTTGCAAATTAAAATTTCAGGAAATAAAAATTATTGAATTAATTGTTCAAAAATAAATAGGAAATCAAAACGAATCCTGCAAAGTGTACATTCTCTTGTAAACACGCCTACTTTGTGCCAATGTGCAGAAATTGTCTAGAAACACGAGATTTATCTTTACTTCTCGAGGATATTATAAACAGAAGAAACATTGGGAGAAATCAATGCATCAATTATGAATGTTAAATGAAGCTACTCTATATAAAGAGGTGCTGAAAAGTGTTTGATCAGTGAAGCTGGCCAAATATCAAACATTCTTGGTTTGGCCGATAGCATTTCAGTTCACCCACGCATATATCCAGCAGCAGACTATATACTGACAGTAAAATATTCATACAATTATCGGAAGGTATTTATATTGATATTTTTAATATACAATGTGAATTTAAACCAATTGCTGAATTTATTACAAATATTAACAATAGACTATTTGATTGGGGTGAGATATTATTCTGCCATTTGAATGGTGTTCATTTTATTTTAAATAAATATCCATAATTATATAGTTATTGATTTTTAATTTTGGTTATATAAAGATTACCATCGGTTGTGAAGAAAAAATGACCTTAAATAATTAAAGAAGCAATATTCATGCAAGAAAGCTAAAATAACACAGCACTGAACAAGAATTACATAAAAAAATTAAAAAAAATAGGAAGGTTGAAAAGATAAGAAAGAAGAAAATCTACTATGGCCAAAAAGATTCGAGAGAAACATGAATGGACAAGATAATTCAATTGATGAGCAAACATGTGAAGAAACTAGCAATGCGGATGACATCAATGAAGAAACAAACCTATTAATGATATTCGTTATAGATATGAAACGAGTAAACTACCAGTCTGCAAAGCTTTTAAGGAAATAGAAAATGAAAATGAAAGAACGAAGACGGAGTAATGCTTTAGGTTAATATTATATGCAGTGTGTAAATTGCTCTCGAGTAGTTTGTAACACGTTTATTTATCATCTCTCAGTTGCATCTCTGTCTTTGGGCAGAATGTGCTCAGGGTCGGCTCCGTCGAAGGACAATGTCGCAAGTGGGGAAAATTATACTGAGAGGTGCCGGCCCTGAGGAACAGCTGCCCGGGGCCGCGCCCTCTCATTGCACTCGAGAGAGGGATCGGTACTCACATCGGCAACTTTTGTGTACTCGCTCGAGCTCCCCAAATTAAAACTACCTTATGTCACAACCAGACCTCGTGGGAGGTTGAGTAAATACAAATATTATAAGCTGGGGAATTATTGGTCCGTTAAATGTTGTTGAAAGAGTAAAGATAAAATCAGATAATTATTGTAATTCCTTGGAAAACCACACCATATCATTGATGGAATTAACTAAGTATTAAACTAATTAACTAAGTATTGAACTAATAGAAATCTTGTGGTCTGACATTAAAATAAATATGAATGCTAAAACAAAATTGAAGAAATTGTCTTAGAGAAATATTAGAAACTACTCCAATTAATATTAAAGTCTAAACATGAGAAAATCAATGGTTGAATGTTGAATATCTTGGATTCCATATTATATTGTAAAAGAATAATAATTTATTCAAGTATATGGAATATTTTCTTAAACAATTACTTTTCTTCAGCTTATGCTAGTTGTATTTATTTAGAAATAAAAAGTGATGAGAGATTTATTTTTTATAACAAAATGCGACAACTATCAAAATTATTATCAATTCTTTTTTCAATTGATATAAACCGGAACACAGTTGATAAATTGTTTATATAATATATCTCTAAAATATTAACACACACACATACACACACAAACAAACATATATATATATGATATGTCCCGGAAAGGGATATATTTGTACGAAGTAGCAAAGTGGTTTTGGATTACTGTAACCAAGTAGGACAATCCAGCAGGTCCTCGTCGTACTGGTAGACAATAGGCGTAGGCAATAGGCGAAGACTATAGGCGTCGTCCATGTACCGCCACATCAGTCTGTATTTATGGCTGACACCAGCCAATCATATTACTGTGAGGGGGAACACAGGTGTATGCATATACATTACATCAATATATATATATATATATATATATATATATAGTAAATATATTCTATATTTATGTGGTAAGAATGTTGAATATCAGAGATAGAGGGTTTATAGATAAAGAAAGTGTGGATATAGACTTCAACACTGAGTGGTGAATGCCATTATCATCTTTCACAGCAATGTTCTAATCAAGTCTTACGCCCAAATCACGTTAAAACACCGTTTCCCATATGATCACAGAAGTTAAGCAATGTCGAACTTAGAAAGTATTTCGATGGGTGACCGCTTGGGAATAACAGGCCCTGCAAGATTGGATGTGCGTGTGGTGTAAGAGATAATGGTTCGGAATTGTTAATCGCAGAGCCGAGTTCCAATTCCCATTGTTTTCTTTATATTCACTTACGTGCAAATACTCTTTTGAAAGGTAGTGATCTACCTCTTTTCTCACAGCTATGGGAAAAATAAAAGTAAGATTTGTATCACAAAACCATTATTATCTCTCAAAAGTATAATCTAAAAACATTTTCTGGCTTTAAATAACCTGCTGAGGGGTTGATAAGTCGTAAAAACATTTCACTCAATCTTCAAAACAAGAAATCGCATTGGTATATTAGAATCCGTTACATAATTATAATTTAATAGAACATAAAATAAATAAATAAATTTTTATCCTAATAACGCGGCTACTTTGTATCAACAAATATGAGACAAATTGAAAGACATAAATCTCAGAGATTAATATTTGTAAAGAAATAAGCATAAATATTAAGCAAGAAGTTCTGTCATTCTAAATTTTAAAACATTTCTCACTATTTTTTCATTAATCCTCATTGAGGTTTAAACCTTATGCCCTATTCTCTTTCATCGTCTATGTAACATATCAACAATATATATACAGCAAAGTTAAAGGATTCTTTTCAGAACCTTCTTGAAAAAACAATTTCATCATAAATCAAAATATTTACAGTTTCCTTATTTTTGCACATGTCTTCAACGTGATATAGAAAATGTCATATACACTTTTGTCCATGCACATAAATATTGCTTGAGAAAACAGAGAAAATATTTTTTTAGTAAAATGTATTCTGCTGAAATGTTCCATCATTTTCGAGACTCTGGCAAGAATAAATGTTTTGATGCTTCAAATAAGATGAAATAATATGAATATATTTAATGCATTTTTATTTTTGAATGTTTTGTTGTTAAAAACGAATAAACACTCCCCCATATAAACAGTATATATATAGGCAGGATGTGTGTGTGTGTGTGTGTGTAACGAATGCACGGCCGCAATTTTCGACTGATTTGCACCAAAATTTATATGCACATGCTCCAAGTTAACGTAAAGGTCAAGACCGACTTTGCATTTCCCAACTCCCATCGATAGTGGAAATAATCGATTTTTTATGCTTCTACTTCAGTTTTCATGTAGTTTGCGGCCATTTTCTACTGGCCAGAGTGAGAGCCTATAGCTGGCCGCCACGAATAGGCAGGAATATTCTATTGGCCAGCGTGAGAGCCGACAGTTGACTGAGACGAATGTTAACTAGCATGCAAAAAAATCGATAGCTGCATTCGTCACAAGTGCGAAAAAATAAAATCTGCATGGCACTTTACTACAATTGCCTCATTTGCTTGCTTAAACTCAACGTTGATTCTGATTCCGCAGAACTGGGTTGGGTGTGAAAACGTATTTGCTGTTAACATTCTTTTTTTCATTCGGTTTTTCCAGTTACGAGTCCTTTTTTGGAGCTGATCGTTTTGTATTCATTTTGTTTAGTTCTTTTTTCGTAACAGATTTAATGTTTAGTATAGATCTTAGAAAAAATTCGCAGTAAAAGTTAGGCAAGAAGTAAGGCATGTAGCAACATCAGCACGGAAAGGGCACTCCTTTAAAAAAGGCATAGAAGGGCAAAAATATTTTAAGTCAAGTGATAGCGATTGCTGTATGAGTCGTACGATTTTTTAATCAAGCACCGGCAAATACAGGGCCATGCTGCTAGTATATATATATATATATGCTAACTTTCACAGTATTAATTCAAAAGAGGGCTCATAACTATTTTGGATCTCACCAAATGAGGTGCAACTAAATGCACCGAAATGAAGTTACATCTTTTAGTGAGTAAATTGTTTTTGAATATATGAAAAAAATTATATATATATATATATATATATATATATATATATGTGTGTGTGTGTGTGTGTGTGTGTATTCAGGCGAGTATAAGTAGACAATAGTGTTAATACTGTTTATTATAGGCAGAGCATTTACTTAAATATTTGTATCTATAAAAATAACGCTTAAATGGAATATATTTTGTGTTTATACGTTATTTTTATAGAAAACCATTTATAGAAAAAAACATTTAAGTAATGCTCTGTTTATAATAAACAGTATTAACAGTATTAACAACATTTACCGGGACGAATATCCGTGAAATTTCATAGAAATGTAGTTAATATTGTTTATTATAAACGGAGCATTTACTTGAGTCTTTTAAAATAACTATCAAATTCATTATTATATATATATATATATATATATATATATATATATATATATATATATATCTGTGTGTCCATGTGTGAGCTTGTGATGCAGAGAGAGAGAGAGAGAGAGAGAGAGAGAGTGTGCGTTGACTTCCATGTTCACTTACATATATATATATATATATATATATAATTATTTTTTATAAAAAAAATAACATAAATATGTTATAAAATCACTACAAAAAATAGCCATTTTTTTTCAACATCCTCGGTGTCTTATCAAGTGATGATGTTGAAGATAAAATAAATGGTTTTAAAAGTTTCAAATTAATTAACGATCCTTCGCTAGGGGAAAACATTGTTACAAAAGCTATAAAGACCAATCAAAACCCAAGTATAGGAAGATTCAAAAGCTTGACAATGAAATCATGTTATAATAGCTACTCAGATCTTTAAAATACGGGTAATATTAAAAAGAATTTATTCTAACCAATAATTATTAAATTATATGATAAAATTTGATATTAAAATTAAAAACAGGCCAATTTTAAAATCCAAATTTAATCACTATTAAGTTTAAAAACTATAAAATTACTGAGGAGAAAAGAAAAAATACATATGTTATTCAATTTATTTCTTCGTTGAAATTACGTTAGAACAGACGCTACAATATCCGCTCATCTAACAATACATGTATATATATTTTATCCCAAGTGTGTGAATGGGGTCTTAAACTCACGCGCGAAACAACACAAACGCAATCAGATTATAATACATAAGCACCCAGACATATTTAGATATATATACACACAAAAAATGACGAGACAGGAACATCTCCACAGCCCTTTAGGAAAAGAGGAAATGGGGAAACCGACACCTACACACACACACACAATTAAAAGTGAATGCACTCTCCATACACATAGACACCGATAAATACATGTACACACATCCACAGACACTGACCTTGACAATCAGATACCACAACCAATAAATATTTAAGACTGAAAGTATCATTAAACAAATGCTAGCCACTTATTAAAATATAACTTAAGCGAGCAAAGATAAAAATGGTTAAAAATAATATATTAAAACGAAAATTCCAAAACCACAAATATCAATAAAAACGTATTTTAATCATATAAGTTGATAATAGTTCCATTATATATTAGGCGAAGGAAAACAGGATAAAAAGAAAACCTACAGAAATACGTATATACATATATACACTCGGCAGAAAACACAAACTAACACACATATACATACATACATACATACATACATATACATATATATATATGCATATATATACACATACAGAAATACATACATATAAATATATAAACATAAACATATACACACATATACATATCTATGATAACAAGTACACATACACATACACACATATAAACATATATACACACATATATACACACATTTATGCACACATACTCACATATATATACACATATATACACGCACCAATACACATATGAACATATATACACACATAGACTAACTACTGTGGCAGTAATGACATACCAAAGTTTCCATACCTACACATACACACAAACAATCTCATATATAATAGGTGTCAACATACACACATACATCCACAAACATACATATATATGCACATACATACATATCTACATATAAACATATACATAAAAATACCTATCTATAATAACAAGTACCAATATATACGTACATACATATAAATACAACGACATTCAACCAAATACATATATAAACGCACATACATATACATACATAAACATACATCCAAATACATACACACACCAATATACATATACCCTCACATACATATATAAACACATTCGTACAAACAGAGATATACGTAAATATAAATTTAGATACACAATAAAATAGGACACACACACACACACACATATATATATACACACACACACACACACATATATATATATATATATATATACACACACACATACATCTACACACATATACATATATATATATATATATAGTGGCACAAAGCCGAAATTAGGGGGCACCCAGTGAGGAACGAACTCACTACTCAGTCTCAATTGGAGCCAAGCTTGCCAACCATTACACCGCCTATATATACACATACATACATATATATGCACACACATACACAAATACACACACATACACATATACATCAACATTTTTTAACCTCTTCTCTTCTTATCTTCCTCCCCCACCTTCTATACACACACACACACACACACACACACACATATATATATATATATATATATATATATATATATATAAAACATATATAAATACACTTATATACAAAACTACACATTCCGCAGTACAAACACAACAAACCTACACACAAATAAATATATACACATATACACCAAGACGAATAACACTATGTAGGTAAACAATACACATTCATATCGTCAGGATGACCATCCGGAAATAAAAGTACTAATCTATTAAAATTACAGCTACATATCATTATCATTTAAAGTATACGACCCCTACACTAAGTTAAATTTATAACGGTGTTTACAATTAACTATTAGTTCATATCTTTGATTTAAGAGATCAGCCTTGTTTTTAAATCTAATAATTTCAAATTTCTGGTTAAGGCATAGGTAATATGGGAAATATAGGGAGTTACATGTCCGGGCTTTCTTAAACTCCATTTAACCGTAGGTGATTCGTTCTTTTCTTTTAGATGCCAAAAATACTTGGATAATGAAGTCATGTGCCTTTAGTCACTGTGATTAAAAGATTGCATATGCCCCCGCCAGCGTTCCTTGAATATTTTCATGGTGCTACCAATGT